GCTTCGTGTGGAATTCTGGGCAGGCTGGCTCGCCATCAGTCTGCTGTAGCCGTTGGGCTGCAGCAGGCTCGACCTCAAGAACATCTCTCCCGATATCTTCCCTCCCGACCCTCCTGAAGACACGGGGCAGGAGGGGATCAGCGAGTCTGTTTCCCTTCGGCGCCCCAAGAAGTTGCAGCTTGGGAACTGGCCTTCCGATCCGCTCAGCTCTGCGCTGAAAATGGGCAGCAGCAGCAGCAGCAACCCACCACCTACCCCAACTTCCACGCCATTCGTCCGCTAAACTGCAGCTGCTTCTGCAGGCGTCTTCGGGTGGAAAAGACCGATCTGTTCCCTCACCTCCTCCCCCGATCGTTTCCGTCCCTTTCCTCCTCACCACCCGCGCGACCAGGGTGACGGCGCAAACTTCAACGCGCCCCCTGCCCCTTATTCACTGTTGGTTGACATCGCCAGCGAGGCGCAGGATTTCGGCCATTCGGCAGATCGACACATCGCGGCGCAGCCCGCCAATACTATTGGGGGCGCGAGGGGGATTCTAGTCTTCACAAGTCAACATCAATTGCGCAGGAAGTTATCCATCAACTGGTCGACCTCAAAAAATCATCATCCGATCTTCTCTCTACCCTCGCCTCCCGCGATTCTCTCTCCCCTCCCCCTCCCACGATCTTTTCCCTCCCAGCCTCCCCCGATCTTTTCACTGCAACCCTCCCTCCCCTCCTCCCCTCTTCCCGCGATCTTTCTCCTCTCCCTCCTCCCCCGATCTTCTCCCTCCATGCCCAGACATCCGGCGTCTCGATTTTTTCGAGACACGGGTCTCCGACCTCTCAACCACTTCCCCGGGACCGGTTTTGTATGCCGAGTAGTTTTGTTGCCGGTCCCGAGGCTTGGTAAAGGGCCCCGAGAGGCCGCAATCGAGGGACAATGTGCGTTTTGATTATTGTTCGAGCCGCCAGATGTGTGGGTCCGATGCCGTTTCTCCCCAGACCTCTCCCAGGGGAAGTTCCGACCACCTCCTCCTCCTGCTCCGCCTTCTGCCTCCTCCTCCTCCTTCTCCTCCTCGTTTTCCTCCTTCTCCTCATCCTCTTCCTCCTCCTCCGCCCTCTGCCTCCTCCTCCTGCTTTTCCTTCCTTCTCCTCCTCCTCCTCCTCCTCCTCCTCCTCCTCCTCCTCCTCCTCCTCCATGATTGGACTTCTGACCCACATGTGTTGACCCCCTCGGTCACGGTGCTACGAATCAGAGATGGCTACACGCATCACCCAACATTACCAGGTGCCAGCATCGAGCACCTATGTCAAGGGTGGGAGAGCCCAAGTGCCCCATCCGATTCACAAGGGGTACGTATACCTACCCTTGAGGTCATCAGCACTACACTGCAATCCTCCTCCTCCTCCTCCCCTCCTCCTCCTCCTCCCTCCCTCCTCCTCTCTCCTCCTCCTCCTCCTCCTCCTCCTCCGTTTTCCTCCTCCTCCTCCTCCTCGTTTTCCTCCTCCTCCTCCTCCTTTCTCCTCCTCCTCCTCCCTCACTCCTCCTCCTCCCTCACTCCCTCACTCCTCCTCCTCCTCCTCCTCCTCCCTTCTCCTCCTCCTCCCCTCCTCCTCCTCCTCCTCCTCCTCCTCCTTCCTCCTCCTCCTCCTCCTCTCCTCCTCCTCCTCCTCCTCCTCCTCCTCTCCTCCTCCTCCTCCTCCTCCTCCTCCTCCTCCTCCTCCTCCTCCTCCTCCTCCTCCTCCTCCTCCTCCTCCTCCTCCTCCTCCCTCCTCCTCGAGCCGCCCTGGGCGCCCCCGCAGGCCGCCGGCCAGCTTGTGGACGACGACGCCTTCTGGGGCGACCGCGCCCGCGTCGCCGCCGCGCTGCCAGCCGCCCTCCGAGGCGCGCGCGGGCGCCGGCGGCGGGCCGCCGCGCTGCCCGCGCCGCGGGGGGCCGCCGGCGCGCCTCGGCGGGGGGCCTCCGCAGGGGGGCCTCTGGCAGGGCCCGAGTTGGGGGCACAGGGGTTGTTCACAAAAACAGGCAGAAAAATCGAGGAACAGACAACAACATGAACGTGAACTTCAATGGGTCGGCAACGTTCGGGGGGGTAAGCTCTGGGGGGGATGATGACCCCCAATCGCCCACTGATCGCTGATAGGAGCCGGTTGTCCACCCCGCCCAGGACGGCAATCGCCGATGTATCGTCGATGTATCGCCGATGGCAGGTCGATGTTTACCTCCCTGAGCAGGTCCCCGGGTCTGAGACGTGCTGGTGGAGGCCAGCTGCTTAATGTCGCGTCTCCTTCACTCAAGAGTGCGAGGACGGCCCTTCGGAGGAGGTCCAGTGAGGTCTTACTATGGAGTTCATGGGGCCACCAAACGTGTCAGTGGTGTGCCAGCATGGACATCTCTGCGGGCGGGCAGCCGAACGCGAGCCTTGCCACTGAGGCCTTCGGTAGAGATCTTTCTGGGCCACGAAACGTGTGAGACGTATGCCGAAATGGGCATGCAGTGGGCGGGGAGACGCATGCGAACGCGGCCTCCGGCCTTCGGTAGAGCTCCCTATGGGGCCACAAACCGTGCGAGGGTGTGCCGTAATGGCTGACAGGAGCAGGGTTGCGGCAAGGGAGGGAGGAGGTGGAGGGGGGGGAGAAGAGGAGAAGGAGACCCGGGGTGGTGTCTCCTCAAAACGAGAACCCAACACCACAGGATGGTTGGGAACAAGCATAAGAAAAGCAAACAAATTTCGTGCCTAATTCAGCCCGCCCCTGGTAAGCCTCATTTTGCCCCGAAGCGTCTCTCGGCTGCCCCGACTGCGTTTTGGTTCCAACTCGCCGGGGCTAAAGTATGTAAACAAACGCCCAGGGGGCCAAATATCTTCTGGACAGAGTCATTGGAGAGACGAGAGTAGTACTCATGACTTGTAGTTGTGGGTGGATGATGAGGAGGATGAGAAGGACGAGGAAGAGGACGGTGCCGGAAAAAGGGGAGGAGGAGTTGTGCGAGCGAACGAGTCGGAAGACATGCGCGCGCAATGCAGGGTGGCGATCAAGAAGTGCCCCCCCCACCCAGGGGAGCCCGTCAAACAGCAGCGCCTTGGGCGATGATTGATAGATTTCTTCCAGCCCTGCTCGTGGTCGACGTCGTCGACTCTTGGTTGTCGCTGTCGTCGTCGCCGTCGCTGTCATCGCCGTCGTCGTCATTTAACTGTCATCAACCAAAGTCTTTCCCAGCGTCGGAAACTAGTGGCTGAATCGCTCTTACCCCTAGCCGCCATCTACGCTACACGCAGTCGCTAGTCACTGCAGGTCTGCATGAAGGCCACTGCTCTGCGCACGCGGCCACAGATGCAGGGTCCGTTCCGATACGATCGATCCGATTCGACACAGGCTTTGGCCGGCCCGATTCGATTCGATCCCGATTTCCGCGTGTGCATGGCGCTGTCGTGCACGATCCGACTCCGACTTCGACCCCGTGCCGATGCCGTCCGATTCGATACATGTTCCGGTCGGACCGGCTTTCCCGATTCGATGCTGCCTTCGGGAGCCTCGAGACGGGGCTCCATGCAAGCGGGGGCCAGCCAGAGCGCCGGATCTTGCAGGGTTGCACTTGCCCGGATCGGCGCGCAGGATCCGCCAGGATTTGGCGGGATCTTGCACAGCCTGACTGGCCCGGGTTGGCATGCAGTGGGGGCCCATGCCGCCTAGAAACACCCTGCTTGCCTCCAGGGTGCCATGGGTTTCTTGCGTTTCGACGGAAAGCGTGACGTTCCCACACCAAAAGTCAAGGGACGTCCTGGGGCCTCAGGGTTGGGTTTCCTTTGGAGGGTTCCTTTGTGGACGGGCCCCTATATATTGTACTGACCCCCGGGCCAGTGCGTCCCCGATGGCTGCTCCTGCGCATGCGCGAGGAGCGCGCGACGGAGCCGCGAGTGCTCGCGCGAGCCGCTCCGGAGGGCCGGCGGCTCGCCCTGCCGGGCTGGCCCTCCGATCCGAGCACAGCAAAGGAATCGTGGTGCCAACATTCAGGAGGAGAAAAAACACACAGACACAATTAATCGTCGATCCCCAAGAAAATATTGGAAAATATGGGAAGTAGGGGGGGAGACAAAAACCCAGAAAATATAGGAAAATATGCGGAATCCTGTTATTTGTGTGCATTTATTTGTGTGTCCCAGGGCCCCTTCAAACATCGCAGAGCGGAAAACAGCCGGATGGGCCCAGAGTGTCTTGGAGCATGTTGTTCCGGATTTCGAGGTGCATTTCGTGCGGTTTTTTTTGAGGGGGGGGCCAGGAGTGAAGATTGAAAGAATTCCACGTGGAAATCACTTGGTTTTTGGCTCGCCGTTTCGAGGTTTTGCATAGACAGAAATCCACGCAAAAATCCGCCGCAGCACGTCTGCAAGGTCGGTGCAGTGAAAGGAACACCGCCACCACAAGCGAGTGGATTCTTATGGAGGGCCCCTCGGGGGAGAACCCACCGACCTCAACATGAGCACTTTGGTTGTGGTTGTGGTCGATGTGGTTTTTGTTCACGCCTCGCGTGCTCCTCCTCCCCCTCCTCCCAGTCTTGTGTTTTTGTTCACGCGTGTCTTTCCGCAGCTCTTCCCGTGTTACATTATATTGCCCACATGCGCGCCCGGTTGCCTGGACTGCGTGTCCCATGCGCTTGCCCTCTCAGAGGATCACCCCGCAGGGGCTGGAATGCGGGTCACATCGCATCGCATCGCATGTGGTCGATTTGGCCGTCTGGAATGCCACATCGGCCACAACCAGCACTGAGCTGGTCTCGGTGTCCTGAGGACCGTGGGCATGCGTTGAGCATCCCCCAGGGTGCGTCCTAGCTGTGGTAATTGTCGTACGAGCATAAATCCGCTCCGGAGCGTTCCGGAATGAGAAGGTTGCGGCGCCCGAGACATCCTCCAGTGCCGCGGGATCTCAGAGATTTTCAAGCTGTCCTCACCCGAATTTGTCCTCGTCTTGGCTTCATCTCAGTCCTCGTCGTGGTGATGGTCGCCTGCTGCCCCCACGTCGGAGGCTTCGCGCGGCTGGTCTCCAAGAGCATCCTCCCCGACATGTTCTGCTTCGAGCCCCCGGGCTCCTCGCAGCGCCCCAGCGACGTGGGCTGCGACCTCTGCGCGGAGGCGGCCGGCGTCCTGGAGGCGCTGCAGGACGCCCGGGTCGTCGTCCGTCACGGGCGGCTCCTCCTCCTCCTCCTCCTCCTCCTCCTCCTCCTCCTTCCTCCTCCTCCTCCTCCTCCTCCTCCTCCTCCTCCTCCTCCTCCTCCTCCTCCTCCTCCTTCCTCCTCCTCCTCCTCCTCCTCCTTCTCCCTCCCCCCTCCCTCCCCCTGCCGCCCCCGTCCCCCGCCGCGCGCCTCCTCTCGAGACGCGAAGAGAAAACTCGCACGAGCACAGGGGAGCGGAGCTCTGCGGGCCAGGGAGCCATATCTCACACGTTGGATCCGGGGCGAGAAATGGCCCCTGGGGGGACGGGGGTCGGGGCCGTCCTCCCTGACTCCCCCAGCTCCCACACCCTCCGACCAGCAGGTGGCAGATTATTTAGGGCTCTCCTCCGTTGACAGCAACGTCCTATAGACAGAAGGGTTCGGAGCTCCGCGCAGACGTTGCGGATCGGCGGGGGGGCCCCCGTGGCGGCGCGGGAGGCGCCGCGCGCCAGGAAGGGGGGTTTTGAGCGCTGGTCCAAGACATCCGCGCGTACCTCCGAGGGTTGCGAGAACTCAGAGCCCCGAATCATCAGGGGTAACTCGGGTCAGGGATAACTCGGGTTCGTTTTTCGGGAATCCAAACCCGAGTTACCCCGGACCCGAGTCACCCCGGATAACTCGGGCGTCCAGAGCCCCGAATCATCAGGGGTCACTCGGGTCAGGGGTAACTCGGGTTCCTTTTTCGGGAATCCAAACCCGAGTTACCCCGGACCCGAGTCACCCCGGATAACTCGGGCGCCCAAAGAACCATGGCACGATGTGTCAAGGACCGTTTCATCCGGGGGGGCCCCTGACTCCGTAGGCTCTCTTTTCTCTTCGCTTCGAGCGGCCTCGGTCTCTCTGGCCCTCCTGGGCGGTCCTCGCCCTCGGATGCCTCCACCTCGCTGTCCTGTATAGTTCTCCCCGCCCGCGCCGGCGGCGGAGCCGCCCTGCTTGCTGGAAGCGGTCTGCCAGAGTGCCCGCCCGGTGTGCCCGCCCGCGTGCCGGTTCTGCGGTTCCCTTTCCTCCCCGTCGTCCGCTTCCCGTTCCGTCGGTGCCCGCTTTGTCCGTTTCCCCGTCTTCCCCTCTCTTCGGACCGAAGGGCGCGAGTTGGCCGCGGGCGAGAGGCTCAGGCTTCTGACGTTTGTGTGCATTTCGCGCCAATTTGAACAATTATTCTCAGTGGCTGTCCGTTGTCCACGGCTTCTGAGACTTCTATGCGCGATTCGCGCTAAGTAGCCCCACTCCTGGTGGCTGCTTCCTGTACAGGGCTCACGAGACTTCTGTGCACGGCTTGTGCCAGTTTGCATCACTCCCAGTGGCTGTCCGACAGCACCTGGTTGCCACCGAATCTACCGCTTTTCCCATCGCACTTAAAGACCACATCCCAGAAATAATTTCGAGCACCCAGAAAAGTATCGAAGCAGTGTCGAACGAGTGTCGCCCCCCAGGGCCCGACATTTGAAAACCCTCGAGGTTCGGTACTTGCCTGGTGCTCGAAACTCGCTCTGCTGACCAAGGCTGAAGTAGGAGGCTGGAGGATCATACTCTGAGGCTGCCGCGTGGGCCTTATCCCCCTGCACGCCTGTGCTGCGGCCTGCGAGGGCCGCCGCGGGCTCCCGGCGCCCTGCCGTGAAGCGTTCCTCTCTCGAGGTCTTGTCCACCCCCCCCGAATATACATGCTTCGCCCGCGGAGGCCCAGCCTCCGGGGAACGAGCGACGACATAAACATCTAATCTCGGAGGTCCGCGCGGATGTCTCGGATCCGCGAAGTCCCTGAAGACGGGACGGGGTGGGCGCGAGCGGGCATCATAGCCGGCTTGAAATCAAAAGAGGCATCATAGCTTCATCAATCTAGATTGATCCACTCACGGATCCACTGCAATTGATTTTCATTGAATTCATTCCATGCGTAGCATGCTCTCCCCCTGGCGGCTGGCGACGCCTCTGGTGCCGCCCCTGGCGCGCGGAGCGCGCCAGGGAGGGGGGGTCAGGCGCCGATCCGAGAAATCCGCGCGGACCTCCGAGTTTTTATGTTCATGTCATTGCTCGTTCCCCGAAGCCTCTGCTCCCCAGCACCACCATGCCCGAGCCTGCCCGCAGTCCTGCCCGGCGGTCGAGCTGGAGGCGAAGGAGCCGGGCGTGTCCCCCATACGGGGGGATTTTCGACGGAGAAAAATGAAGAGCGCACCCAAAAAATACCCCAGGATGGTCAAAACGCATCCAGAAAATAGTCCTCCGACTAATTTTTTATAATTTTCGAATACTCCTCCTGCTGGTCGCCGTTCGTCCCGGAGGCGTGCCGCTGCCGCCCGGACGGCCCGCCTGGCGGGGGCTCGGCGGCCCGGCTGTTCCGCCGCAGTTGGCCCGGCCGCCCCGCGGGGCGCCGCGAGGGCCCCGGCCCAGTGCGCTGCAGCAGTCGGGTCCGCGTCGCCGCCGGCGCCGGGGCCGCGCCAGCAGCCTCGCGTCGATGAGGCAGCCGCCCCTCAGGAGGGAAAGAACCACACAGAGACACAATGAATCGTCGACTCCCAGGAGAGTATGGGGACATATGGGACGTGGGGGGGGGAGACGAAAACTCAGAAAATGTGGGAAAAGATTGGGAATCCTGTTAGTTGTGTCTACTTACCTGTGTGTCCCAGGGCCCCTTCAGCCCCCGCGCGCGGCCCGGGGCGGGCGCCGGCCTGGGCCCCGCAGGAAATCGGAGCAAAGAAAGGGCGGCCAGGGCGCAAGACAGTGGAGAGAGCGGGGACGCCGGGTCTCCGCGCGCACGCAGGGGCGGCACTGAGGGCCCGAGCGCATGGGTCTGAACAGTGGCGCCGTTCTTTTTGGGGCTCTCCGGGGGCTCACCTGAAAAGGCCGCGCGAGGGGAGGTCAGGGGCGGCCCAGAGCGGGTTCCGCGAGGGGAAGGGTATCAGAGAGTTGCGCGCCGATGGTCTTCCTGGCCCTTCCTTATAAGAAGTCGGGGCCTTTCAGTCGGCGGCATTAGGATCCGAGAGAACCCACCTGATCATTGCACTGAGATCGCGAGCGAGGCAGTATGCGTGGAACATGCGATGTCTGGCCAGAAAGGGCGCGTTCTCGTGTTGGACTCCTGTTGGCGGATAGCGCAGCCGACATTTCTTCCAACCGAATCGTTCGGCGGTAGGCGGCACCGCGCACACTCGACGGTCGCCCATTACTAGCGCTCGGGCCTTCTTCCATAATTCTGCCCCTTGCAAATTTCCATCTCAAAACTTGCTTCGCGCGCCGTCGGCAGCTTGCCAGTCCGGAGGCCGGCGCCCCAGGGAAATTCCCATCGACTTCGCAGGTGTCGCAGATTCCTTCTTCGTCGGCTGGGTCAGCCAACCTCCGTTCCCATCTCGGCCCCCATCTCGCCAGGGGCCAGCCACTATCCAGGCCCCCGGCCGACTCTCCTGCGCCGCCGAAAGTGAGCTTGCTCCTGCGCGCGGCCGGTCTCGGCGGCCATCGCGCGCGGTCACTGGGCGAAAGGGGGCGGCGCTGGCTTGCCGGCTGCAGCCCGTCGCAGCTACCAAAGCGAAGGTCGTTCCACTGCGACGCCCAGTCGCTCCCGGGGAAGATCAGCAGCGCTCGGGGCGTCTTCGGCGCCGCGCGCGCCTCGGGCCACGCGATGGGCGGCCCTTGGCAAGACTCGCGGATGCGCGCGGCGTGGGGCGCGCTGAAGGCGAACAAGCAGCCCAGCGAACGCGCAGCCTGCGAAGGCCTCCGCCGCCCAGCCCGCGAGGCGCCGGCGCCGCGGCAGCCCGGTCAGGGCCCGTCGGACTAGCCAGAAGCGCTCCTGGGTGACCCTGGGCTTCCAGCGCGAGCTCGGCACCTCGCCCCCCGGCGCCTCGGCCTCGGCGCCCACGGAATTCGCGCGGCAGCAGGGCGAAGCCCTCGAGCGGCCGGCCGATCGAGTCCGCCGCCGCCAGCGCTGCGGCCGAGGCCGCGCCGAAGCCGCCTGCGCAATCGCAGCGCGCGGCCTCGGGCTCGCCCGGCCTCGGGTCGAGGGTCGGGGGGCGGCCGCGGTCGCTCAGGGGTTCGGCGCCGAGCCCAGGGCAGAGCGCCGTCGCCGCGTTTTTGCCGACGCGCCACGCCGCCCACGGGCCCCGCACGAAGCCCGTGGATGGGGGCTTCCAACAGGGGCGGGCCAGATCGCGGCGCGCCAGCGGCTGGCCCGCGCCCTCGGGGAGGCTTCGCCCGGCTGGGCCCTTCGGAGCGCTAGCCGCGGAACGCGACGCCGGCTTGGGGCCTCGAAGAGCTCGCGGGCGGAGAGAGCGTCGAGGATGAGGCGTTGACGTTTTCCTTTATGCTCTTCCACGCAAGAATTTGACTTGGCGCCTGGGTCGACAGTTCCACCTGAGAAGTCCCCGACCACGCGGGCCAACGGCGAAATTGCGATTTGTTTTTTCGCTCCGCTTAAGCGCCGGGTCGAAATGCGGCGCCTCAGCAGGGGCTGCGCGCTTTCGGGGCGATCCTTCAGGAACCGCTGGACTTCGGGATGGGGGCCGTGGCTTCACGTTGCGGGCAACGCTTCGCTGACTCGCGCGAGGAGACGGCCCTTTCTGGAGGGCGCAACGCGGGCGAAGCGCCCCGCCCCATCGCGCGGCGCATGCCGTCGCAGAGCCAGCGGGGGCATCTGGGCCCGAGCGCCGTCGCGAGGCAACCTCCCAGGCCCGATCCAAAACGCCGGAATTCACGGGGTCGGTCGCGAAGTCGCGCGGGCGCTACCTGAAGCCCGCGTCCCAGTTCAGAGCGCCCTCCGCCTCGTTGCCCATCGTCGCCGCCAGCCGCTCCTTCCGCCACATGGGGCCCGTCTTCGCCGAGAGGCAGCCTCGGGGGGCGTCGACAGGCGCGCGCGATGCTGCGGGGGCAACTCCTCGCCCGCCCGTGGGACGGCATGCCGACATCGCGCCGTCCTGAATCTTGGTCGGGGATGGGGCTCCCCCTCGGTGGCGGGAGCAGTCATTTGCCCCCCGGGAGGGGTGTCGTCGCCCCCCTGCCTCCCATCGGGATATTCGGTGGCGGCCCCCTGGGGATTGGCCGGCCGCCCTAGTCGCGGCCTCCGCCCTTGCCAATGCCCGACGCATTCGGGGCCCCGGTGGGCGGCGCGGCGCGGGCCTCTTGCTGCTCCACGATCTTCCTCGTCGCAAACAGTTGCAGCGCCTGCCCCGCAGCGCCGCGCGGCCTGAACGCGCCCGCGCACGGGCGAACCCATCCATCCCCGGACAGGGCAGGCGGGGATGCGTCGCGGCGGGCCGCCGCCTCCAGACGCGTGTAACCACCCATACTGAATTTATCGCACGCCGCGCACAGGTGCAGAATGTCGCGCAGCGCTCTGAGTTCATGGGTCGCCCCTCTCCGAGGCTCTTGGGCCCCCCGCTGGGGCGCCGCGCATTCTTGCAGATGCCCAGCGCCGAGGGGGGCCGCCCGCGGGCTGGCCCGCGCGCGCGCCCAGCGCGCGCCGCGCGGGTGGTCTCGAACCATTCGCCATGCATGTCAGAACCCACTCGCAGCGTGCGAAGGCCCCCCCCCCGCCGCGCGGCCAGCTCCGCGCAGGGGCGGCGTCGCGGCGCCTCCGACGGGCGCGCCGGGCGCCGCGCCGCGCGTCGCAGTAGGGGGGGCCCGCGGAAGGCCCTCGAGCTGGCCCTGCCGACCGCGCGGGGCCTGGGCCGCCGTCGCGGGCGACTCGGCCCCCGTCCGGTCGCTCGCCGCCGGGAAGTCGCCGAACCCCATCACCTTGCGCCGCTGCGCAGCGTTGCCCGGGATGTCTGTCGGGGGCGCCGCCTCGACGCGCTGAGGGCCCAGTCGATCACCGCCCCCTTCTCGTTGCGGTCCAACATCTCTCTGAATCAATAGAAGGGGCGTTGCCATCCGTCGGGCATGCCAGCTCCGACCGGCGTTGCGGCGCCGCTCTCAGGTCCCGTCTCTAGGTCAGTGCCTGCGCAATCCTCCTCGTGCGCGTCGCCGTCTGGAATGCGCTTGCCCAAGTGCCCGGCCGCGGAGTCGGGCGCGGAACGGCCCGCTCATGATGCGCGGGGTCGCCTCCATAGCGCGCGACGACGTGCTGCCCGGAGACGGCACTTCCATCTTTCAGGCCCCCCGTCGACGAACGGCGCCAGGTCGCGCTCCGCCAGCGGCCCCCGCAGCACCTCGAGATGTCGAAGTGCCAGTGCCTCGGCTGGCAGCGGGGCACTTCGCCAGCCCAGCAGCCGAAGGAATGCAAGGGCAGCTCGACGCCGACGCGGTCGCCCGCGCTCAGGCCCCCCAAGTCCGAGAGGGCGCTGGAGGCGATCCACCCGGGCTGGACGCGCACGGCCGCGGACCCCGACGGCGGCGCCGTCGTCGCATCGGACAAACCCAGGGGCGAGCCGGACGGCGAAATGGGGGGGCGGGGGCTGCGCGGGCGAGCCCGCCGACGGCAAGGGTCTCACGGCGCCGAGGCTCCTTGGAGAAGCGTTCGGTTCGCGAGCCCGCGAGGCGCCGCGACGCGCGGGGGCTGGGCGGATGCGTCGCGCGCCGCGACCAGGCGCCGGGGCGCCCGTTCAGGGCGCCCGACCAGGTCGACGAGGCCACGGCGGACAACGTTAATTCGTGCTCTTCCTCGCGGGCCACTAGTTGGCTAAGGGCGAACAGGTCATGGCCGATCTGGCGCGCAGGTTCCCGGACAACTCCAGGCAGGGCGCGCCTCGGGCGCCCGCGGGTCCTGGAGATGCATCCGTCTTGGCACCGGCTGACCCTTTGACCGGAGCCGCCGCGCGTGGCCGCGGGCTGGCTTGGCGCATGGTGCTTCGGAATGCTCTGCCGATGGCGACCTCCTTGACGCGGATGGCCTCGGGCGACTTCCGACCCGGCCCCCGGTCGTGCGCTCGGCCCGGCGAGGGGCCCTGTCGCCCCCCAGGCGCCGGGCGCGCGCCGATGGAGGTCGTTCCTCCTCTGCCTCGGCGACAAGTCGCTCAAGAACAAGAATAGCCTGGCCGACGTCGGCGCGATGTTGGACCGCGCCCCTGGCTGTGGCGCGCGACGCCCATCTTCCGCGCGCGCTTGGGATCCCGCAGCGCGCGTCTGGGACCTCATTTACCATCAGTTCCTGAATCTCTCCCAAGCCCCGTTCGAGGATCCGACGATGGGGGGCGCAGCGTGCCGCTCCAAGCCCTCCACTCAGGGCCAAGCATCGACGCGGCGTTTGGGCGCAGGCCTCTCGGATTTCCAGAAGAGAGGCCAGCGCAAGCATGCCAGGTCAGCACAGGGATGCGAGAAAGCAGCCCGTCTAGGTCAAAGTTGGGCCCTGCTGGCAGGATCGCTTCGAGACGCGCTGACCGTTTCCGAACGTCGCCCAAAGGCACAGTGCCCATAATAGATGTTGTGGCGATTGCCCAGTGATTCCGGATATGAAACGTCATAAATATTTACCCGCTCTGTTTCCAGGGTCAGACTCCATGGTGCACCCCGCGTTGCGATTTTCCGAGCATCATGGGTCTAATATCCAACATAGCCCCAAGCGTGGAATTGACCCAGTCAGATGTGTGTCACGGTATCGAATATATATATATATATATATATGTATACATATATGTATATATACATATATATGTATATATATATGTATATATATACAATAAACAAAAAAAACTGCGAGCGGCTTGTCTGGGCCCACTGCTTGGGTCTTGGGGTACCGCGGCAGACCACGGCCACCAATTCGGTCGGCCCAAAGTTGTTCCATTGAGCTTCCCGGGTGCCAGCACATGCACCCGCAACATAAGTACGGCAGGCAACGCTACCTTCTCTGCAAAATTGAAGGTACTTCGAATGCTCCTCTTTGGCGATGTCCTTTTTGTTTAGATACCCAGCCATTGGTGGGATTTGGCGCCTCCCCTGATGCAGTGCCTAGCCCACCAGAGTGGGGCTGTCTGGTTCTCGACCATTGTAAATTCGGAACACGTTGGAGAATGCGTGCGAATCTGTTTTTTTTTTCCGGGGGGTGGACCCGCAGGACACAGCAACGTTCGAACCTCGTCGCCATTGCTATTACGGGTTGTGCTCCGCCTCGGCTGAATTCCATATTGTTCTAAAGGGGAAGAGAGGCTGCCAGGCGACGGTCCCTCCCCCAGAGCTTGCCGACTGCATGGTGAATTGCCTGCTCAGCCGCCAGAGGGATTCTGAGGCGGCTCAATTCACATGGCCCTCCTCACTGGCCCAATGAACTGTGTGTGTGTGGGAATGTGTGGCACTACGTGCGTCTTACAAGTTTCGCCAAGGCGAGCAGCACGACGTATCTACGAGTGTGCCACCCAATGTAAGTAAGCAGCTTGTCTGTGCGGACTCGGGAAGATCGAGAGAGTAACGCCATGATGCGCCAAGGACAGTTTAATCAGGGCGGCCCGGATTCCTTAGGTGCTCTTCGGTTATTATTCTGCCAGGCATCATGTGCGTATGTATTACATGTTTCGCCAGGGCGATTCGCATGAGGTGGCAAAATGTTCGCCACCCAATGTATGTAAGCAATTGACTTCTTCAGCTTAGTATTACTCCAGTTTTGTCGTGCGGTCCACGTGTTTCTCCACACATATATACATACATGTATATGTATACATATGTATGTGTGTGTGAACGTGCATGCATACATGTATACATGCATGCACACATACATGTATATATATATATATGTGTGTGTACATGCATGTATGTGTACATGCACCTACGCAAACATACACGCAAACATGTGTATATGTGTACATAATACATTGGCGCAGATTCATATAAACATACGCACCTACACATACCTATACCTATACATGTACATGCACACATACGTATACACATACACATGCACATACACATACACCTGCACACACACATGCACCACATATGCATGAACACATGTACACACATGTACATCTACATGCACAACGGCATATCCATACATTTGTACGTATGCCTATACACACACACGTATACAGATACACATACGTTTGCATATGCATATGCATACACATATACATGCATATGCATCGACCCCAATCGCCCATTCAACGCCGACAGGGAATGGATAGGCCAGCCAGCCCAGGACCGTCGGGATCCGCAATCGGGAGCCGACCGCCGATCTGTCGGCGATGCATCGCCGATTTCACATCGATGCTCCCACCCCCGTGAGCTGGTCTCTTCCTAATTACTGTTGCCCCTCAACGTTGCGGTGCCGACACCATGCGGTGCGTCAGTGGGAATTTGGGGTGGCCGCACGGTTTTGAGACCTGCGCGCCGTCCTCCGATGATGTTTCGGGCGGTTGGCGCCTCCGAGGTCCGACGAGCTTGCGGTGACAGACCGTGCGGTGAGGCCTTCACGGATTCCGAGGCCACCGCACAGTTTGACACCGCAGTGGTTCGGGACCCCTGAATTGCGGCTCAGAAAGTAGATGTTCGGGAGTGCGCCCTCATGGGGGCTGGTCATTCGGATGCACCCTGATTGGGACCCCAAGTTTTCCGGCCCACCGAACGTCCAACCAACCAAGTCGGGGATTGCGGTCGCCACGCGGCGCGGGCGCTGGTGAAGGAATGTGCCCTGCAGGAACCTTCGTGTGATGAGGGCGGCGGTGATACCCATGGCCAATCCACGACTGGGTCCAACCGGCTTCCAGACTCTGGATTTCTTGGCCAACGGTTCCGTATCCAATGCCCTCACCGAACTCGTAACTCCTGCCAGTCCGTCGCCGTCGCCGTCAACCGGCGCCCCCCGCCGGACGGTGCAGGACCCCGAGGTGGCGGTGTCGGTGAAGCGGCGGCGGCTCCAAGGGCTCCGGGACGAGTGCAGGCAGCTCGGCATCCTCCCCAAGCCGCTCGCCGACGACGCGCTGGACGTCATGGACTTCTTCGCCGCCCCGCTGGTGCTGACCTCCTCGGGAGACCATGGGGGGGGCGCCAATTGCCCAGATCCGAAGGAGTGCGTTCTCCAATCCCGTCGCTTGCCTTCCGCTTCGGCCTCCGGGGGGCCTCTTTCGAGCCCCCGGGCAGTCAGAAAATGGATCCGGGACGAAGATTGCCCGCTGCATTCGCTTCCAGCGAGGAGGAGAAGAGGAGGAGGAGGAGGAGGAGCAGGGGGAGGAGGCGGAGGAGGAGGAGGAGGAGGAGGAGGAGGAGGAGGAGGAGGAGGAGGGAGGGAGGGAGGGAGGGAGGGAGGGAGGAGGAGGAGGAGGAGGAGCAGGAGGAGACGACAGGGTATGCTAGGATCCTGCGGCTCGGACCACACCGCCTTCCAGGGCCGAGCCTGGCTCGAAGCGGGGTCCGCCCGTCCATTAGGGGATCTTGGGATTTGTGTCTACAGATTCGGGTACACCTAAGACTCGAGTAAAAGTGGGACTCGGGTTTGCCGACGTTTTTGTTACGAGCGCGTCCTGGACGTCGACGGTCCAGTTTTCGTGGGATGCTTGCAGCGTGCGTTCGCGTCACATTTCAGATTGGGCCTCGTCATGTTTACGATGGCCCCGTCAGGCCAACCCGAGTTTCCCGTACTTTGGCATCGCTCGGACGTGTGCATTTTTCCTTCGGCGAGGACCATCGAGGAGCATCCTTGATCATTTGGCGAAAAAGCCACGCACGAAACCGAAAAGAACATAGGAAATGGACGTCCGAGCGATGGCCAGGTACCCGAGTCTTACGGCTCCCCGATGTATCTGTGTGTCCCCGAGCCCCTTCATGTGTGCGCATGCGCCAGCTTTGGCCAGGCCGATTTGGCCGAGCCGGGGCCCCAGATCGGCGGGAACGCCACCCTGGCCACGCGGGCCCCTGGAGGGCGTGCACACCAGTCCAGGGTTAAGTCGGGCCTGTCCCTCGACTCTACAGGAGAAATATTTAAAAACAAATCACAAAACAAACATACATATATAACAAAAACACTCCGGGGCTGATTTGGTCTTAGCATTTGTTGGCAGTGTTTGAATCTGCTTTGAATGTTTCCATTTTTCGTCGAACATCTACCCGTACAGGGGACGTGCCCGACCGAAATCCAGGAAGGGCATGCGCAGGGTCGCTCTTTGACTATATTGCGCAGGCTGCAGGCGCAGGGCGTGTACCCAGAATCCACTTTGCTGCTTTGACTATCTTGCACGGCTGCGTCCTCGAGCTCAGACCTCATTTCGCTGTGTTCTCTCGCTCGCTCGTGGTCGTTCGTCCTCCCCCCCAGCCCCTGGCCTGCCCCAGGGCTACGCCATTTTGCCCCCCCTTCCACGCCCCTCCTTCTGGCCTGGGCCCCTCCCAGTGCCTCCCCGACCCTTCCTGTTGGCTCGTTCGATCGTGGTCCCCCCCCCTTGCCCATGGTCGGCCCCCCTCCTGCCGTGCAGCCCGCCCGCCCCGCCTCCCAGCACCCCCTGTGCACCCGGCCTGCTCCCCCTCCCGACCTTTGGCGCAGTTTCGTTCGCTCGTCCGTGGTCGTTCGCCCCCCTCCCCATGCCCGTGGCCTGCCCCCCACTCAGGCCCGGGGCCACACCCGCCTGCCCAGCGTCCCCACCACCCGCTCGGGCCATGGCCAGCCCCCCATTTCCTCTCGACCGTTGGCCGTTCGTCCTCGCCCCCCTCCCCCTCCCCCGACCTTCCCCTGGCCTGCCCCCCTCTGGCCAAGGGCCCTCCCCCTTCCTGGCCCAGGCCACGCCCACCTGCCCCCCGTCCCCACCACCGCCCCTCTGGCCCAGGCCTGCCCCCAGCGCCCCCCGACCTTTCGCTCTCCTGCGCGGTGCCTTGGAGGGCTCGGGGCCTCCTGGTCCTGGCCGTCGTCCGCTCCCCCTCCCTCCCCTGGCCTGCCCCCGGGCGCCCCAGCCCCTGGCCCCAAATCCCGCTATTTTCGTGGTGGACATCGTTCGTCCCTCCCTCCCCCCCTGGCCAGCCCCTCGCCCGCGCCCCACTTTGTGGTGCGACGTCGTTCGACCCCCCGTTCCCCCTGGCCTGCTCCTCTCCCGCGCCCCAGTGCGTGGTGTGACGTCGTTCGTCCGCCCCGTCTCTCCCCGAACCTGCCCTTCGCCCGCGCCCCAGTGCGCGGTGGACGTCGTTCGCCCCCAACCCCCTCCCCTGGACTGCTCCCCGCTGGCGCCCCAGTTCGTGGTGAACGTCGTTCGCTGCCACCTGCACACACTTGCCCCTGGCCCGCGCCCCAGTGCGTGGGGGACGTCGTTCGTCCCTCCCCCCCCCCTTGGCCTGCTCCTCGCCCGCGCCCCAGAGCGCGGTGCGACGTCGTTCCCTCCCCTGGCCTGCTCCTCCTCCCGCGCCCCCGCTCGCGGAGCGACGTCGTCCGTCGCCCCCTGCCCCGGCCTGCTCCTGGCCCGCGCCCCAGTGCGTGGTGGACGTCGTTCGTCCCCTTTCCCCTGGCCTGCTCTCCGCCCGCGCCCCACTTCGTGGTGTGGCATCGGTCGCCCCCCCCCTCGCCTGGGCTGACCCTCGCCCTCGCCCCAGTGCGCGGTGTGACATCGTTCGCCCCTCGTTCGCCCCAGCCCCTCCCCTGGCTTGCCCATGGCCCGCGCCCTGGCCTCTTTGTGTTCTGCGCAGTTGGGGAGTGGGTTGTGGGCTTCGTCTGCTCGTGATAAGGCAAACCTTTTTGCAGATACGTCCAATGCGAAATGCGGGCTTCCGCCTGAGGTCGACAATATGTTCTCTCCCGCACATGTGCCGCGCGTCTCGTCGATGGCCAGCTTTCTGCCAATACGGTCCCGTTCGATTCTACGTATTTCTGTGCAGGCTGCGGGATGACAGCGGCACCGGCATCGATGGACTACCATTGCCATGCTTGCACGTTTGACATTCTACACTGGCGAGTGGCCCGAATCATGGAAGCTTCACCGTTCAAGAAAAAGGTGCGCGCGAATCCTTCGAAATACCGTATTATTCGGATTACCTCTCAATTCAGCCAAGAGTCGAACGTTGCTTCGCTAGCGTATTGCTCCCTCCCTTCGAGTCCAGCGGAGCAGATGGGACCCACCAGTTTGCTTATCACACGAACCAGGGCTACAGAGACGTTTTGGCATACATGGTGTGCTGTTGGATTCGCGCCATCTGCAGTGGCTGGCGCGTAGGGGTGTACTGCTCCGACGTGGTTGGCACGTTTGGCCGAGTCGAGTCTGACTGTCGTGTTGCCGAATTGCGCGCGCCGGGATATGCGTGAGCCGCTCATTCGCTCGTGGATTTCGGGGAGGCAGGCGCGTGTCACCGTGGATGGTTGTCTCTCCGATCGTTTCTCCTTGTTGGCATGGTGTTTCAGGGAGCGGTTTGGGTGCCTCCGTTTTGGAACGTTTATAATGGTGATGCCGCACGCGCAGTGTCTTTTGCCAGTTTCGAGGAATGTGTCTTCGCTGACGAACGAAATTGTTGGAAAGTGCTCGAACGTGTGACCTCGGATTCGTCGATACTCACACAGTGCCACAAGTGCCAGACTTCGCTTCACGAGTGGGGCGCGGCCAACCAGGTAGTTCTGAAGCTACGAAGGGGGGCATGCACGTTCTGAACAGTGCAAGCCCCACGGAGACAACTTCCACATCCGCAGCGTGATCTTCGACCCCACGCTGAACATGCACCGCGCCATTTTAGATTTTGCTCGCGAAGCATCTTGGCGTCTACGAGCGCTGCCTCCGTCCAGTAAGTGCCACAGCACTGCCGTCGTATACCAAGTCGCACCCTTCGTTGACGTCGCCGCCCCAGTGATCTTTCATGCCAGTCTTGCCCCGCTAGACGGCCTGCAGGGGGAGTTCTTGCACACGCTTGGGGCCTCCGAAGAACAGGCCCATTGCGAGTACAACGTTGCTAAAGCGTGCATGAGACGGGACGTGTCCGTTTTGGGCATACTGCATAAAATTGTTCACAGCGCGGTTCCTCCGTCATTATGTGCCCCTTTTTTTCTGCCCACGTTTGGCAAACTCGAGAACAACGGCTTAAGCGTGGGAAGGCGCATTGACAACAAGGCCTTTCGCGATGCAGTCGAGCCAGGCATGCATCCAATGATGCACAGTTTGATATTTTGTATGGTGTCGTTTCAATCATATTTCACAGCGTGTCGTTTATTAGCCTTCTGCAGAGCTCTCCCAGATAAGTTTCAAGACTTCAGCCTGTTGATGCCATCAGGTCAGGCCACACCTTCTGGCAGAACCTGTTCAGCGCACCGTGCCGCGTTCCGCAGCTTCCGCTTGTGCGTGTCCGAGCATGGGGACTTGTCGTAATAATTGTACGGGCACGCGCGCCGTCTGGAATTGCGGGGCCCCTAGAAGTCCCGACCCCTTTCCTTCAGAGACTGGCTCCTCACCCCGCAGAGTTTTTTTGCTGACCGAGCCGAGGGCCCCCAGCTTGGGGCTCACGCCACGGGGGTCGGCGCGAACGGGGGCCAGCCGACCCCGCCTGGTTGCCCTTCGCCCCCCCCCCGCTGGTCCAGGTCTGGGAGCTACGATTGGGAGGCCCGCCGGGCTTCGCGACAGGGCCTCGGCCGACCGGGGTTTGGGCTCGTCCGGGTTAGTGCGTCGCCGGCCAGCTCCGGGGTTCTATTTCTCCCAGGGCATTGTATTTCACGTCGGCTCCATGGTTTGCGGCCTGACTTCAGAGGCCGTTTTGCACGATTGGGCCACCCCCGTAGCGCCCTCGGCGCGGCGCGGCTGCTGGAAAGCATCCAGAGGTTTGAAGACCACCGAGAGCGCCGACGAACACATCCGAGATTTCTCCTTCGCGGCGACTGTCCTTTTATGGCGACTGTCAACCCTGACGCTCGATGCCATGACGATTTTTCAAGACGTGGACCCCCAGATGTTTCGACCCATCTCCAGGGACCGGCTTGCAATCCTAAGCTGCTCTGTTGATTGCCCACGGGCCCACCGAGGGCCCCCCAGAGGCCGAACATTGCAAAACCCTCGCCGTCTTCATTTTCGTCCCGACGTGAG